CCTGCTTTTCACAGTCAGGGGGATGGCCCCTGCTGAGGCAGCACGCTGCATGGCAGCCCTTCAACACGGGTGTTTGGGAACGCTGTCGACTGACAAAACTAATCATGCGGCTGCTGCTCGTTACCTCCAGCTCAGAAGACTCCAAGCCCTGCTTTTTACCTGTCATTTAAAACGAGCCTGCGTGTTCCTTGCCTCTCAACTGCTGCAAGCTCCAGAAGCCTTCCCATGCTGGACGCCACCAGAGGACGCTGTGTGTGTGCAAGCGTGGTCACACGGGTGTGCGCTTGCGGTGGGTGCCCAGGCCAGGGGGGTGCGTGCACAGACACGCCTGTGCGTGTTTGGTGTGGGCAGCTGGGACGCCATCCCTCCCGCCAGGTCTGCTGCCTGCACCCAGACCTTGCTCAGACGCACTCCCTGAGCCAGCCACGGGGTTTAGGTTTGGAAAATCGGCTTCTGGGCAGAGGTCTGACTGTGAACCAGCTTTTTGGGGTGGTGCTCAGAGGTGGGGCAGGTGTAGCAGCTCGGCTGCAAGCACTCCTCTTTGATTTTCTTCCTCCACTGTATCGTCCTGCGCTCGGAGCCATTGCTCCTGCCATGTCCCGGGACCCCGGCTGGGGATGAAGTTCACCTCTGGTGCCTGTGGAGCTCGCTGCCTTCTCCCGGGGCTGCCGGTGAAGGAGATGGGCTGGGACAGGACAGGGCAGTTGGCTCAGTTGTCGTCTCTGTTAACTTGCTCCACTGGAAAGCAGAGGGTTTGTTGGAGACCTGAGTCACCTCCTGTAGCCGTGGTGGAAGTGAGTCACAGGCTGCACTCGTTTTGGCTGCTCCCCTTGGTGGTGGGGACAATTTTGGTGCCTTTGCCCGTTAGCTTCCTCACTGCCCAGCACACCAGCAGGAGAATTTTTCTTCCTTTTGCTAGCTCATTTTTGGAGGAAGCTGTGAATCTGAGCAATGGCTTGAAGTCTCAGGTTTGATGTCTTCTCTGGTTGGGGTGGAAAGCTGCTTTCTGCTGTCCTGAAAAGCAGCTCTGCCGCCAAGGAGTGACTGTGGGAGCATTGAGGGCAGGTGGAGAGGAAGCAACTAAGAAGTGCTCAGGGGTGGCTGTGCTGCAACAGTGGGAGTGTTGTCTAGAGCAGAGGGTGGAAGAGGGCAGAGAGGACGAGTTGGGAAACACGACCTGATAGAAACCCCACCGAAGCCAGGCTGGCAGTGTGGTGGATCTGGCTGGGCAAGGTGCCGCTGGGGAGGAGCAAGGTGTTGTGCCGGGCTGGCAGCCGAGGGCTGGAGTGGGTGCTCTGGGGCAAGATGGAGCTTGCCTGGCAGGGGCGCGTATCTGGCAGGGGTATGGCAGTGCTCAACGAAGCGAACAGTGCAGGTCTGGAAGCTGCTTGCTCAAGGCTTGTGGGTGGCAGCAGGGAGGAAAGCCGGGTGGTAAGCAGGCTGATGCACCTTGTCCTCTACTGTGCTACCTGTGCTGCTTGCAGG